TATCAAGAATACTCACATATTAACAATATTACAGATCAATTCAGAAAGGAAGGATACGTTTATAACCAAACGACATTATAAAATACTACAAAATTTAAAATTTTATAAAGCTAAATATTGGACCGAACGGTTCCAACAAAACAATCTTAACTGAACGATTATACATAATGAAAATCTCTAATTACTGAACGGTCTTAAGGTTCAGCCTTAACCTCCACTTCTTCTAAGGCTTCTTCCAGCAAGCACTCTTCTCCCTTCTGCTCACATCCACAAGATGATCATTGCAACAGGAATGACAACAGAATGGACAAAACAGATAAGACAGGAAATAGGGTAAGCTTATGTAATTTAATTAATTTAGTAAGACATATATTTCTCATAAATCTGATATAATTCAATAGTCAATTATTCAACAACCAATCATACATTTCCAACCATAATTATTCATCAATGCATGCAATGACCAACCATTTGACTCTGACTGTTCGGACTGAATGAATTATGTGTAGCTACGACATTTTTGCACCCGGGTGATGTAGTAGCTGGGATGCCCTCAACAGCTGCCACTCGAGGTTAGTCCGTTCTTACATCGCCCATCTTAACCTTATGGACTAGGACCTCCTCTCATTCTCACACATGATTTACTCCTCTCTACTTGAGAATGAGTAATCATAGAATATCAGGATAAACGCCACCTTAGCATGACCACATTCATACTTTACCATTCTATAACAAATCCTGAGATATTCCTTCCTGGAATACTCTTTCATATTCGTACCATTTAAATCACATCATACTTTAAAGTCATCATACTTCATTATCAATACAGTCAAACCAAACCAATAAAACCAGATCCCATCTTAAAACAGAGCTTAAAGAGATAACCTAAATCTTAGAAGTAAGACCGACACAAGAGAATATTGTTTAGATTATCATAACCGAACGCTTAGTGTAAGACCAAGCAGTCTTTCACTTATCCACGGAACAAGACCGAACGGTCCATACGAGACAAAACTCATCAGAAGCCTAACACTTATAATAATAAGGAACGTTTCCTAGATACTTAACCATTTTGACCGAAAGGTCTTTACTAACAGAACTCAAGGAATGTATGGAATACTATAGAATACATATAATTAAACCTAACCAAAGATGATGAAAGTTTTTATCTGCGACCTAAGAGTTTAAACCGAACACTACAAACGAGGGCCGAACACTTTTATTCCAAAAATAATATAATTGAGTATTATGATGAGACCGAGTGCTTGGATTAAAACCGAGCACCGCTGAGACCGAGCGTCGGGTTTAAGACCGAGCACTACTTAGTTTATACCGAAATGAAGGAGTATAGATATATCTAATACCATTACTTAACACTTATTTTTAATAAAGGATAATTATAATATCTACGACTTTAAATATTATAGAATACCTTAACTAAGCTAATTTACAAAGAGAAAGCTATATTTAGACCGAACGCTTATTTACCAGAGTACTAAGAGAAAAACCGATCGGTCATTAACTGAAATTCTCTATAGAAGAAGAATCCGGTTCAGACTGAATACCCAAGTGAAAAACCAAACGGTCAATAATGACTCTCGGTGACAAACCCATAATTACGCAGAATGCTGCAGACTTAAGATCAAACACTATCTCAACCCAGTTCACATCATTTATAAATTATCTCCTCATTCAAACAAACATGCAGTAACACCCATACTTCATATTCATCAAATGATCAGACAAACATACAACCATTTAGAACAAAGAATCATAATCAAATTATATAAGCTTCCCTTACCTCTTAAACTGAACCGAAAGCTCACAGTTTGAATAGAATAACTCACCACCAGAAATCTTAGAATCCTACGGGTCAAGATTTATGAAACTAAACCAATCAAAAGACCAGAAGTGTGTTCAGAATGAGATGATAAACTCATGCAACCAGAAACTTGGTTTGCATGTACCAGAAAACAACAGTTTTAAGAGATGAATGAACTTACCAGCTCAAACCAACAACTTGATCGGTGCAAAAGAAAGCTCCTGACACCAGGAAGACTCAGACGTGGTCTGATTGAAGATTGGAAGAAGAAAAAAGTTAGAATTTTTAGAGAGAAGAAGAAGAAGATTGTAGAGAGAAGTAGGAGAAATGAAGAACTCAGAATATTTGGAAGAGAATGGTGCATGCAGAAAAGTGACACGAATTTTGAAAACTTAACTTATAAACTACCGTTAAAACCGATCGTCCACTCTGCAGCCCACACTTGTCTTCCACTTTCTGAATTTCAGAACCCTTGCACATATACCTGACTTCCACTGACTCTGGGTTTTTAAGGGTTCTGACATTTACTAGACCAAACATTAAATCAATAAAATTTTGAAAAAACTACAAACTCTACTAGAGCAAGATCATCTCATGCATTTTCATCTTTAAAAAAATTACATATAATTACAAACTTTTTCTTTTCTCTCTCACTTAGTGGACATATACACTTGTTTGATGAATGTATTGTCTGACGAGGGTAACAAATGTGTCATCTAGCAAGCACTTAGTTCAGTTAACATTTATTTCCCTAAAGCTATAAAGATTTTCAAAATTTTATGACCAAACTCTATAACAAAATCCAAACAATTTTGTCTAGTGAATTAATTTCAACAACTTAACCACCTTGAGTTTTTTTTCTTATTTTTACAAAATATTTTTATATGAACGATAAGAATGAAAAACAGTAGGTCCACTCGTTAGCCTACAAATTTTGATAGGTCGAGTTGAAATTTTTAACCCGTCAATCGACTCTAACTTACTAATTTGGAAAGCTAAAGACGAGACGGAACAGAATGATTGTTTTCTTAAATAGAAATTAAAATAAAAATAATTAAAAATAAATATCTATATATTATATTGTTTAAAAGATGAAAATATATAATTATATTGTAATTTAAATTATTAAAAACTATAAATTAAATTCTAATTATTAATTATAATATAATAATTTAATATGTAAAAATAATAATTATTTTAATTTATTTAATTAGAGACATTAATTAGTCAATTAAAACTTTAAAAAACTAAATTAAAAGTAAATAAGAAAAACTAGCCTGTCATCTTGTGGCCCATCCTTTGGTGAAGCAGGTTTGAATTTTCAACCTCTTTTCTTGTGGTGGGCCAACGTTTTTGGCAGACCAATGGCAAGATGTGTCAAAACAGACCATATTAAGTTATTTTGACATCCTTACTCAATTATAATACCACTTGCCTAACAATATAAACCTCTCTCAGAGCCACATCCCATACTCTCCCAACAAGTGTATCCTCAATTGAATAAAATATCGAGAAAATCGTTATTGTGGGATTATATTAAAATACTATTTTATTTATAAAAGAAACCATATCAATATAAATATTATTTTTATGTAAATTTCAGATACGTAGATTTTTTTTTTTAAATAATTGAAGAGTGTTTCTGAAAAAGAAAAACTTTTTAAGTACATTACACAAATTTTCTTTAGTGGAAGTCAAATGAAGCAATAACTTCACGGTCACGCCAACGCAACCATTTTGTGCGATTGCATTGTTTAGAGTGAACTTTGAAACATGCACAAATGGAAGTGAACGGCGAAAAGAATGTTAGGTTTTTCTTTTTAGTTATCTAACTGGAACAAATCTTAAAAACAAGTTGGCATCATGGATATTTAGCGTGCTACCATAAGAGCTATTGTGGTACAACGTCACTTTGAATAATAAAATCAATTGATTTTATATTAGTCAAATCAAAACTATAAATTTTAAGATAATTAATATAAAAGCTACATAATTGTGACTGATGTGAAATGCCTGCTTACAAGATTGTTAATTTATTTTCATCTATAATAAATTTATTAAAATTTATATAACAACCGACAAATTATAACTTTTAACAGGTGAATGATATAAAACATAAAGTATAAAATAAACAATAGAGAAAGACAAAAAAAATATCAGTACCATGTGCATTGATAGGTACAGTTTAATTTATATATATAGTTGCAACCCTAGAGAAGGGTGTGAAAGAATATGCGAGGGAATATGATGAGGGAAGCCACGAAGCAGGCCACACCATCATTTTCTAGCTTTAACACCGCGCAGCGTCATAGTCAAACAGGTAATACTCCCAAATATTTATTATTTTTAGGTAGAAAGTAACCAATATTTTAATATTTATTTATATATAGATTTTAATATTATATCATTTGTATTTATAGATATTTATTATTTGTAAAAATTTAAAATTTAAAATTAATTTATACCTTTTAAGATTAAATTTAATTAAAATTTGATTTTTATTATATTTGATATATATTTTTATTTAAATTTTATTTTAAAATTTATACAACATTTTTTTAAATAATCTTTGAATATTCAAGATACTTGTAAGTTTTAAAATATTTTAAATATTTTTTAAACAAATATTTAACAGTGGTGAGATAAATAACTGTTGAATTTTTTTATTAAAAATTAAATAATGGATAAACAGTATTTATGTCTTATCCGAGATTGTCATCCTAATGTATATTTTCCTCCATGAAATAGATATTGTTACCTTAAGAGATTTTATTAAGACATCAAATTCCTATCTTTAATTTTAAATTTTAAATTTTAAATTAATGAATATATAGTATTGGTCTTTAATTTAAAACTTTCATCTCACACCAAATTTTTTAACAAGTTACAAATATTTGTATTTAACTATATAGAAAACAAAAATACTAATATTTTTTCTGTTTTCTTTTTCATCCAAAATCACGATAATAGTAAAAAAAAAACAGGAAAGAATTTTTTTTATATCTCTATAATTAGTATCTGCACCTCATACTAAAAGAAGAAAAATAAAAGAAAAACTAAAAGAATGTTTCAAATAGATTATGAAAGATAGAAAGATCATTTTAAGATTTATGGGAGTGCATGTAATAACTATGGAGGTGTAGAAAGTAAAAGTCATTCCTAATTCTTCTACTTTAAAAGAAGGTTCGGCCAACGACCCGGCCCGTTTCTGTGTAAACATTCCATTGGTATAAATACCACACCAAACCAAACTGAACCAACGGTCTCTACTTCAAATCCCTTATTCCCGCCTTTATTTGTTGTTTTCCACTTTCCGTCTTCTTTCTCATCTCTCTGTCGGAAACTCCAAACGCGTGCCGTTTCTGCAGATTCCGGCGACGATGAACTAGAAGCCGTTGCATCTCCGATCAGAAACGAAAATGAAGATCAACAAAGCCTGCGATCTCTCTTCCATCTCCGTCTTTCCTCCTCCTCTTCTTCATTCAAGGTCTCTCCTCTCGCACTGATTCACACATTTCAATTACGATTGTTTCTTTCAGTCCATTGCTTCTCGTAGAACGCTCATTTTATTCGTTCGCACACTCTGAGAGAAGAAGATTTAGTTCTACATTTGAAGTTTATTCATGAACTTTGTGTTTTCTGCGGCACGCTCTGTTTGGGTCCTGCGAATTAACGAATCTGGAAACTGAGTTAAAATGATTTATATATCACAACACATGACGTGTTTCAACTGAACTGTTCATGTTGACATCTGTTGTTTTGTATCGCTTATGAAGGAAAGCGAACAACGTATCAAGTGGATTGCAAGTTTCTCACTCTCAGCATCGCACGCAACCATCGCAGCAATCGTTTTCGCAGGGACTTTCATCTCAGCACGGATTGCTGTCTCATTTCTCTCAAAACTCTCTCGATGAGGCCGTCACAACTAATGAACCGGTTAGATCTTGTAAACCGACGTAGTTATACTGTTATTCTTAATTTTATAAGCAATTTTCATAAAAAAACTCTTCTAGTAAACTGATATTGATTAGAATTTATTATGATTAGAATTTATGAGTTAATATGAGGTGGAAATAATTGTAATTATTGCTCACGTTGAAAAATAATTGTTCCTCTTTTATAAATTGTTCGTGGCTTCACAAAAAATCTAATGTCAAACAAGTGGAATCAAAGCGTGTCCTGGGAGAGAAAAAAGCTAATGTTGTTGTCAATTAGTTCATGTGCTACTTAGGATACACTGTGAATCTATTCCATGGATATCCTTAGTTTTATCAATCATATTTCTTGCTAGCTTGCATTAAATTTACGACAAAATTTGAATTTCAATTCATTGAGTATTTTTTGTGTTGTGTTCAATTTTAATTGGAATTTCAGCTTCAAAATCTATGTAACAAGAGTTTCCATTGAAATTATCAGCATAAATTAATAGACTGCAACTTCAATCGTGATTGAAAATACTAAGAACACCTAAGGAATTGCATAGTACTAGTAGGATATTAACCGGAAATTTTCCTGGTAAATAGAGAGCATCTTCAAATATCCTTCACTCAATTACTAAATATTGCAAATAAGGCGAATATATTTTGTTTTTTGACTAACATAATTATAAGCAATTGAAGATTCTATTTCAATGTCTATTATATTATTATTGTGTTTTAGAGAGTTGGTTCTCAAGAACAAGAGAACTCTTTGAGGAGGCTTTCTAGCTTGCCCCGACCTACATATTCAAGGGAAGAGAGTCACCCCCTTAACTCTAGATCTTCGTCCAATCTAATGCTCAAATGGAACTCTGCAGATCATAAAGGTAAGAGTATTTAATGAAAAATATGGGTTTTATTTTTCTAGCTTATATTTTTCGCATCCAGGTTAGACGTATTTAAGAGTGGTCTGAGTTTCATGATACAAGGGCGGAAAGCAAAATAAGTTAGAGTCCTTTTACCCTCGCATATAACTTTACTCAAGATATAAATTCATTGTTTGCTCTAGCAGGTCAGTTAAGTGAAGGACTTGAACACCGAATAGGCATAATGGAAACTTCATTGAGTAGGTTTGCGATGATCTTGGATTCTGTTCAAAGTGACGTTATGCAAGTAAACAAAGGAACAAAGGAAATTATTTTGGAGGGTAAGTAACTCATATTGTAACTATTGACGATATTCTAAAAAAGGTTTTGGGAGTTGTATTTATACCAATCAAGAAACGTTCTACTGAAATTATGTTTGGCTCTCCTTTGATTATCTGCTTGTCTTGCATTTTCCAATCATTGTATATTGTTTGAAACATAATTCAACTGAAGGATGCTCGTTTTTTATACTAAGAACTCTAATTTCTGACTCGATGTTTTGTACATTAAGTGTTTGATGCCAGCTTGCTCAGTCTGGACTTTTATCGGATATGAACGTTTGCATTCATTTTCAAATTTATAATATTCTGAGTTTTCTCTAGCTCGGTCTATAAATTACTTTTATTGAATTCCTTACTTTTCATTCAGTGGAATGCATAAGGCAGAAGTTGATAGCTCAGGATAACTCATTTCAGTTGATGGTAATGCCCTGATTCCTTCCTTGACTCGCATGGTTTCACTAACATCAATGGATATCGAAGTTCAGTAGACTGATTGCAGTAGTCTGGTTTTAAATCAGACTAAAGGACAAGAAGAATTCAAAGCAAGGATTGATGGGAACTTGAAATCTTTATCTGAACAAATGAGCCATGTTTCAAAGAAAGAGAAGCTACAGGATGTATATTTGGCGGTTTCTCCATTGCCTCGGCTAATTGAAGCCTCTATGCAAAGTGTAAAAAACGATCTCTGTAACATCACCAAGGAAATGCAGGCACGTACCATATGGCAATTTATAATGATTAATACATGCAGACGAATTAAACTTTTAAACTCTTTAGGTTAGATACAGATACTTTTACAAAGTAAGATTTCTTAGAACCCCTCTTCTCATTTTTATACTGCTACAGGAAAATGCCTTCTCCCGAGCTCTCTTTCTTTTCCTTCTTGTTTACGTCACTAGAATGCCGTCAAAAAATAATGCTTTTCCAATGAGCGCTTGCAGGGAATTTCTTCCAATCTTAGAAGCTTCAACCAAAAGAATATGGCACCGCCGTCTTTGTCCTTAAAGGTTCATTACCTCTGTTGATGAACCATATTTTCTTCGAATTTTTTCGTTGTGAAAAATTAGTCTGCTGAATCCTGATTATTTTCTACGGTGCAAAGCATCGTTTTTTTTATCCCTGATACGTTGTTGGCTCGCAGAATTTAAGCAAACAGGTTATCACACCGAAAAAGCGACAGCCTCTTGCTAAGTATGTATTAACTTCATCTACTCTACTAATAGTGTAGTGCCTGTCAATTTTTTCTACATTGTCAATTTCAGTAAGCTTTATTTATGAAAATTTTCTAAGCGTTGACATTACATATATTTCGTATGCTTCTCAATTTGTTAATTTTTTTCATATACTTTACAGTCTCAAACGTGAGAACTAATCTGCTGTAAATATATTGGATGTGAAAATGGTAGATTAGTGTCAAATATTTATTTCCCAGCTTTCATAGTTGACGAGTAACCCGGATTTTACTGGATTGCTTCGAGGATGATGAGTTATATGTGAAAAGCACACTACGCTATAAGGAAGAGAGAGCAGAGACATCCATACACACAATGCGTGTGTGTGCAAGTTTCCTTTTTCTGTCAGAAACACTGATCCAGCAATTGATCCTTCTGGGCCTCTCTATATTCTTTAATCCAACAATATAAAAGAAAATTGCTTAATAAATGGATTTCTCACCTGCTGAACGGCGGGTGAAGTAATTTCTTTTGAATGCTATTCAACCTTTTGTTCGGAGAGTTATGCTTTTCCTATTTTCTTTTACGACAAACACGAGAGATGATAAAATTATATATCCATATTTGCTTTTGGCAGACAAAATCTAGGTATATTGGAAGGATGATTTATTTTATAGTATATATTTGTTTATCCCCTATGTATCGAATTGTTAATCTTAATAATTAATAACGAATGGCTCTATTTACGACTGGTTATATTTGACACTTGCAAAAGCATTTGTTACGTAGTGTGACCAAGGACAAGGTATTTTTCAGAGAGGCGAATACTAGTTTACAAGCTGCTGTAGCTCCAGAGGTAGAAATGGGCGGCTGGAAGTCAGTAAAAAAGGAACGAGTCACTTTTTCAGATAAAGCATCTGAGAAGGTACAAAAGAAAAAAGAGCCACAAACTGAGAAGGTATTCTAAAAGAAATTCAGTGTTCCCTTTCATGATCAGAAAGTTGCATGCCCTTCTATAAGTTGCTGATATGATGCGTACAGTTATATAAGATGCACTCAACAATGACAATTGTCACTTCATTTTTCACGCAAATGATTTATTTTCATTAATTTTACAAATCTTATACGTGCTTTACCAATTGTCAAGTTCTTTTTGAATGACAGTTTATGAAGGGAGGTATAGACTGTGCTATTGTCATTGAATCTGACGAGGAGACTGAAGTGGGATTTTCCTGCTTGGTCAAAGAAAACGCAGGTAGTTTGTAAAAACTTAGAACTTCCTCATTTTCGTTCTTAATATGGTGTGTTATGGGGAAAACAACAAAAGTTAGATGTAGATTGTTAGATATTACTCAGTGACAAAACCACATAATTAGATTAGGTGTTGTTTTCGATTATAGGTGAAGTTTTATTTTGATAATCTTGTTCATAAAACTTTAAATTAAATGTCAAAAAAGTTATTAAAACATAAGGTAAATTCCAATAAAAACAACATAATAACACATAAGTAATACTATTAAAAAAGCTTTAACAAGAGAGATCTTATCCTCCTTAAAAGTAAAAAAAAAAAATTAGTCTAAGGATACTTTGACAACTTGCATATCTTATACAATCATCCAACAAATTTATATTACTATTTAAATGTAATATTTTATTATAGAAAGAAGTTGTTAAATAGTTATTTAAAAAGATGGATGTCATAATTGTATTAGTTAGAGGACATCTTAGTTAAAGGATTGTGTTTGCATCTTTTTATTTGCTTTTTAAATATTGTAGTATTGAATTTTATTTATTATAGTCGGAAGCAGTCATGGTATACAACAGTGTGATTTTAGTTCTAGATGTAGTTTTGAACTATGAAAACATTACTTATTTGTTTAAAAGAAATATAATCGTATAATATTTGTTTCCCTAATACTACCGAGGATATAGCAGTCATGGATACAACTGCTATATGATTATACTTAATTGGCTAATTAAAAATCTTATGTTAATTATGGAAATTAGTGTACATTGTATATAGTTTATTACTTGTTATGATAATGATTTATAGCACGACGTGTATCTGTTAATTTGAAATATATAAATTTAATTTTAACTCTTTGTAAGTTGCTATTTGATAGAAATCGTAACTGTTTTTAATATATTCTTCCAGGGAGATCAGGAGAAGACCTATTTGGCAAATTGACCAAGGAAGAAGAGGAAGAAACTGAGCGAATTTTGCGGAAAGCAAGGAGGCGTAAGAGGAAAAGTATTGTAATACTATAAAAATATACTGAAGGTTACCTATTTCAATTCTAAATTCCTTGTGTCATATTACTTCCTGCTACGACGTAAATACCAACTAGTACACTTGACCAAGTTTTAGATTGAATGGTCACTCCTTTCAACTGTTTTATTATGTATGACAGAAGGCAAACCTAAATCTTCTCTAATATTTATGCAATTTTACAATGTATGGAGCAAAAGCTATCTTTACCATTCAAAAACGCATGCGATTTTAATCCACTTTCTTTGTTGTGCAGGAGAAGTTTGTTATTTTCAGATGCAGGGAAAACACCCGAGGCTGGAACTTGGATATAATTGTGGAACTTTTGGTGTTTTTTCTTAATAAAGTGAAGTCTCGCTTTAAGAATTAGTATCGATCTTAGTTATACAGGTACTACTCATGTCATGTGTAATTTTAATTAGAAATAGTATAAAAAAGAAGTACTAAATTGTATGTAAGTTTATCATCAGAAATTATTCCTTTTTGGGCTTTTTTGCAATGCCACGTTTCCTTACATAGGAAGTTGCTTTCTCTTTCTATTTGGATTGCAATATATTCAGCTTCACCGAAAGCTTATGCATAGGTTTTTCATTAATTCATTATAGTAATTACACCAAAAAAGGATAAACTATTCAGTGGACAATAGCCCATTTTCCCTTTGTAAGACTGGGTTCTGCTGTCTCAAATTATTGGGCCTTCTTGAGCCTCCGGTTGGCGGAAAATTCGAAGTGGTAGAGGGATTGAAGTTTAGAAGAGAGTGTTGAGAAATCTTATTTGTTGGGAGGCCGTTGATATTTTTTTTTGTGTACAGACACCACCATGGAGAGGAAAGACTGATATACCGGGTTTTTTTTAATTAACATCAAGTGCATTATAGGATATTTTTTATTTGACAGGTGAACCCAGAAACTACCAACTAAACGATTCTTCTTGTATGTTAACACTAGCGAGAGATTAATATTTTCTATTACTAATAATAATATCATATAATCTCATCTCGACACAGGGGTCGTGAATTGTACCATTTGTAAGGAAACAATTCTATCACTTCGCTGCCTTATGCACTGCAAATTATTTGACCGTTGCTGAACAATGAAATAAAAAAAAATTTTATATAAAATTTAGCAGATTTGGTGTCGTAATTATTAGCCAATTTTAAAAAAAAATACGAGAACAGACGTGTTAGGGGAGAAAGATTTTAAATGAAGAAGTTGTATAATTCCACAAGATTTTTGTTTTCATGTCAATTCAAAATTGAAATCGTCAGTTTCTAATAATTTTCTTGAAATGTAATTGATTATAATGAATATCTAATCGATTATATTTTATAAAAATTAATTAGAGCTGACTAATCGTTTTGGTAGAAGACCATTTCTAATTTTTATGACAATTTCTAATTTTTATATTGTTGTTGGTAACGATTACAATGTTTGTAATTTATTACTAAGGAAATTTATTTCCAGAATGCACAATTATAATTCATTACAATTACAATATAATTGATTACCGAAGTATTTTGGTCCTTATCAAAAGTGAAACACATCTTATAATTGACGAAAATTTTAATTAATTAAATGATCTGTGGTATATATTTTATGGTAATTAAGGTATATAAGTATATAATTAAGTATTAAGTGTTTGTAAATTGTTGTTCATTGATTGAATCATTTATTTTAATTGATAAATAACATTTAGTTCCTAGATTGTTAGTCATAGATAAATAGCACTACTATCTTTTATGCTTTAGGAACAAAAATAAAATAAAATAAAAACAAGTAATACATAAATGTGAAAGTAATTCATAAATAGATAATAGTCAACATGGTCCAAATAAGCATGTACAAAAAGTAAATTTTGAAGTCCAAATAAACATGTAATAAAATTAAATTTAAAAGGGTAAGGGCCCAAAGTGATGGCCGAAGTAACCCGTGTCTTCTCAAGTTGAGCAACTCGAGCACCAAAATTATCAAATCTGATACCAACAAAAGCACAGAGACCACAAATATCATGCATAATATCTGTGAGGAGAGCAAAGGAAGTATCATGCAGTTGTGGAGACGGTATGCACTTGTTAGAAATTGGAGGATCGTCATGTCTGTGAACCCATTAATCATCAATGTTTTTAATAAAACCAAATTATGTTATACCTTTAATACCAATTCTAAAAGACCTTTTAACTTTTACAAAAGGTCCATCATCAAGAGGAATGCCAAAGTGATCGAAAAAGGTGGTGATGAGGTGGAGATATGTTAGAGGTGCATTGTCCTGTAAGGCCTTTTTCATGTGATGTCTTATTAGATAAGCCCATTTAATCTCCCTTCCAATTAAAAGTGTCCATATCAAAATTAAGTCTTCTTCAGCTGCCTATGCAAGATTAGTGGCACGGGGAAACAGAATGCTACAAATAATATAGTGCATTATTCGATTGTCAACTTTCATAGACCCAGTAAGTAATCTACTAATAATGTTCACATTCTCTTTACAAATCATAGTTCTAGCATCAATACTATAATAGTCATTTTTATCATCATCTACCATATTTTCTTCAAAAGACACGCCTTGGCTTGGTAATTTTGTCAAAGAAAAGAATAATGATGGAGTTATTGTAATTGGTACTTTTTTAACTTCACTATTAATAACTCCATCATCAATAATACGCATATTGTTATAATGGACTTGTACTAATTATGGAGAATATGGTTCTATTAGAGTCATGAAATCTAATAGTCCAATATTTCTCAAGACATTGTAACACTCAAAATTTTCTTTATAAAAAAAATTAGAATCAAGGTACTTAGGTTCAAGAATATCACGATCGAAGAATTTTGAGCAATACCTCTCATACTGAGTATTGGTTGAAAATAATATGAGGTTGTGTTGCGAGGATGGATGGATTTGGTTGTGATGTTGGGTTGTCAGAGGGTTGACGACAGCCAAGACCACCAACAATGGAAGAAGAACTCTTGCATCTCTTGGATGGTTCTACCATTGATGGTTTTTGAAGTTTCAATCGATAGGGTTTGTAGGGATTGGATAAGGAGAGGTTTCCCAAGTTATTGGAAGTAATTTTGCAAAGAAATTAGGAAGATTTGGATATTTTTTTGTGTGTAGACGGCGTTGTAGGAAGGTGAAATAGGGTTGTGCACTTAGACAGAGAAAATGGGTCTCTTATAGTTAGTGACGAGTTGTAATTGATTACACAGTGACTTAATGACTTGGAAATTTGTCATGGTAATCAATTATATGAATAATGTAATCGATTACCAATAAGAATTATGTTTTTCCAAACCCCATGGTAATCAATTACTCGAGTAATGTAATCGATTACTATGTTTTATAACCTGCATAATATTCATTTGTGTTCTTCACGTTACAAGATGGAACACAACTGTGATGAACCTTTAATTAAATCAATGTCATTATACTATGCAGTAGGTCAAATAGGGAACTAGGAATTGACATATCATGAAGGTAGTAATAACTAATGCATTTCAAACTTCATTTGGAGCAAATTTTGTGTTATATATATCACTTCACATCACACCATCCTTCTATCTGTAACAATTTCTTTCAAACACAAATTCACTTGCATTATTGTATACACCTTCAGAGAATACGTAGCAATGTATTCATAGAGCTTTGGAGAATCTTCTTCAAGAAAATATGACAACCAACCATTTATAAGAGATAACATTGATGAATTTAGTGATAATGATGACATTCAAGGAATCCTAGATGATGAAGAAGATGTTGTCGACCCATTCATCCAGTTTAGTCAACATGTTCAAATTGAACTTATGGAACATATGCATTTCCAGTCAAAGGAGCAAACATTATTTGCAATAAAGTAGTACCACATAAACAACAGATATAACTTTATGGTTGTTGAATCAAAGTCTCATATACGTAGCCTAATGCCTACATTATAATAATTGGTGCCAATGGCGCTTGAGGGAAACCTATAGCAAAGTTTGACATTATTGAGAAGTTAAAAAGATCAAAGTGTCTCATACTTATTTCTCAACAATACTTTTTTAAGATCATACCAATATTAATTCAAACCAAATAGCCTCAATCGTATTGAATTTTGTGAGGACCAACCCATCAATTTGGATAAAAAGTTTGATTGCAAATGTAGAAAAACTTGGATAGCAAAACAAAATGTGCTTGCAATGGAGTTTGGTGACTGAGAAGAATCCTATAATGAACTTCTGAGGTGGTTACAAGTTATCCAAGACACTAATCCAAGGATAATTGTCCAATGCATTGGTTCGTTAGTTAATGTTGATGAAGTCATGGGCACAGCTGACTATATTCTCGAACAAGTTTTTTGGCCATTCGCTTTATGCCTCGAAGGCTTTAAATATTGTAAGCCCATTGTCCAAGTTGACGAAACTTTTCTAACAGATAAATATCATGCAACTTTGTTGACTGTAATTGCTAAGGACGATAATTGAAACCTATTTTTATTGGCCTTTACTATAGTAGAAGGTGAGACAAAGGAGACTTTGATTTGGTTGTTTCAATATTGTGAGAGCATGTTACCCCACATTAAAATCTTTAGATCATAATTAATAGAGGCAATGACATATTGTCAATCTTACGATCAAAAGAAGTTGGTTGAGAAGCTGATGGTCTAAAGTTTGTCTATTGCATATGTCATATGGCCTCCAACTTCAACAATAAGTTCAAATATTCATAACTAAAAAGAGAATTCATAAATATGGGTACTAATTTACTCATCTTTGCTACCAAAATATTTTCAAATTTTTTTGCACTACTCTTATAATATTTCATTTATTACATTATCATAGCTTAGGAGGTCAAACAACCCATTTTAAATAGAAAATTTTTCTCATCGAAATCCCAATTCCCCCAAGAAGTATCATGGATTGATAAAATTCCATTACAAAAGTGGTCTCAAGCTTTTGATGAAGACAAAAGGTATGGCCAAATGAAATTAAATATTTTCTAATGCATGAACTCAGTGTTAAAGGGAACACGTTCATTGTCCATTTGTGCTCTAATCAAAACAATATTTCAAAGGACACAATCATGATTTGTTAAATGAGGATTGAAAGTCGAGTCCATGTTAAGAGCAAGCCATTAATATCCAAAAGACATTACCGACGTTCTTTGAGAAAATTAACAACAATCGATATTTTATCATGTTTATCACTTTAATTGAGACAATTCAGAATTCAACATGCAAGAGATATCAACCCTTATCAATATCGTCCTCAACCAGTTTCATACAATGTCAAATTAAAAGAATGGTAGTGTGATTATGGTCACTTTCAAGCAAATTTTCTCCTTTGTTTTCATGTCATAGTTGTTTATGTATATTCTTGTATACTACTAATAAAATTTATCGATCTTGTTTACAACCTTGACATCATAAATAAGGCTTATCAACTCCAATTCTATCCGTTGAGAAATCAAGATTATTGGTCTACCTATATTGGTCTAAATTTCATATC